TTCATTTGGATATGTTGGCGGGTTGGATGAGGTGGTGTGGTGGATGTCTGGAAATGTTGAATAGTGAGGAAAGCGGACAAGGCTGAAGCGGCACGATAAGGTTGAGGAAAGAAGCTTATCGCACGTGATCTATGCTATAAGCAGCATATCCAAGGTTGTGATGAGTTATTGCTTATACTGGGCTGGGTTGTTTTAGATGCCGTAGATCTTCCTAATTTATTCACATGAGAAGTTTGGAGACAAATAGAAGTTAATCTATTCAAAGGAGGAAACTTTGATTTCAGATGAAGTTCATAAACCAGAGGCAAATTATACTTCATACCAAGTAAAATATAGGATATTCGTAAATCGTTAAAAGTCACGTCCATTGTTTGTTCTGTCTACCTAATAGAGAAGGTTATACCATTTATCCTTTTTGGTAGCTACTCCTGAACGCCAGAGAATCCAGAGTCAAAAATATACATGTGCCAAATGGTATACCCTTATGCCTAATCTCCACCCTCGCTAATATCAAATAATCAAAGTAGATTGTTCATATCACAGTACAAGTCCCCCTAGACCCATCATGGCAAGAGCTGTAAATCCAACCAAGACTCTTGACCAGGCAAAAGGCTCCGGGTGTATTCCGGCAGCGCTCTTCTTTGTACCTGTAGCGGCAAACCCGCTCGCTGCGGCAAGGCCAGTAGCGGTTGGGTTGTATGTTGCAGAAGTAAGAGAACCGCTGCCAGTAGCAGTAGCACCAACCTTTGGATTGCCGGAAGCAGTTTGGGTGACAGCGGCTTCGTTCGGCGCTGAAGTTGCTGAAGGAATGGGTGCTCCTGAACTTGCGAATGGTACAATGTTGGCGCTGGAAACATTAAATCTTGTGTTTGCAAGAGCAATTCGGTTGTTGACCAAGTCATATACAACATATGCAGATCGCAGGAAGGTGTCTCCAAGTAAAATTGGGAGATCTCCGGCGGCTTGAATTCCAAGCTGGCATGCTGTTTGACCATTGTTATATTTGGGAGTCTGACCATTGGTGAGAGTCAAAGGCATGACGAGCTCAGAAACCTGAACGCTAATAGTTGGGCCCCCTACCCCACCAAATCCATAATTGAGACTTCCGTTGACGTTTGCAAGAGCGCATGGCACAATGGTGGCGCCAAGTTGGCGGTAATAGGTCGCTCCAAGTTCCTGAAAAACTACTGCTGCAAGGTTATCTGGGAGGAGAGTAATAGTGGTTCCAGAATCCAAAATTGCTGGAACAGCAAAGCTTGAGGAGGTTAACTGGTCTGTACCAGACTTGCTAGTAGCTGAAAGCGAGGTGAATGCCACTGTAAATGAGGTGACCCGTCTGGAGCGTGAGCTTGCATAGACATTGACAGACATCAAATTACCCATATATTTGGCTGTATCAATGCCACCGAAGAGAACCGAGCCCGTACTAGATTCTATGATCTTATTAGTGTATCTCAACAAATCTTAGAAGGTAACCTACCCAGATCATTCAGCCACAGACTGTAGGCCTCTGTGTTGATAACCCCTTGGTCCACCAAAGCATTTGGTAGATTGGCGTATATCGTGCCGTTTCCAGTCTCCACATTTGCTTCTGAGTTGTTGTATCCAATACCCATGATACCTTGGCCAATAGTTCCGTCGGTAGCTAAACCCATCTGGAAACTCTTGATTGTTGCACCCCCAATGGAAAAGGTATCCTGGAAATAATCACCTGTTGATCCAGTTCCATCAACATATGAGATATTGAATCCGTTCTGTTCGACATCTAAGAAGGTTGAAGATGCGCGTGAATTAACTAGTAAATGTTGTCAATCTCAGTCTGCAAACCTTGCACTTGGGGGTCTACGTACAAGTTCCTCCATCACATCCGCCACCCGAGGAAACTGGCTGACTACAGATTTGAAGAGAACTTGACGGTACCCAAACGTCCGAAGAACCTGTATCGATTTGAACCTGCAGAGTCTGCCCAGGTGTGCCTATGGTGATATTCGCCTCATATAGCCCCGCCTGCAAGTCATTAAAGAGCCCTGCGGTTACAGTTCCAGCTCTCGCCTCCAATCCTCTGCTTGCAAGTTGGTTCTCAAGTTGTCGACGTCGGAGTTGCGATTCATGTACTATTGGATTTCGTGCAATATCCATCTGCAGTGTATTCGCAGAAGCCAGAGAAGCTATGGAAGCCCCAATTATGAGGGTATTGAAGATCGGTGCCATAATTAGATAGTGGGAGAGTTGGTGGTTCAAAAGTCTCAGCCAAGGCCGCAAAGAGGTCGAGACGTGGAAGGTTGCGATAACCCACACCGTGAGTGAACTGCAGATGTAAAATTCCCGTTGTGCGAAAGCTAGTGGATGGTGACGATGGTGATGTAAATAAGCTTTAAATCATCGAGCGAAGGAGCTGCGATGACGATGGTGGACAGCGGAAGGGCGGAGTCTGGAATCACTAGGTTTAGTAGTATGCCGAGAGCACTAAATCCTTCCAAGTCCCCTCGTATCGATTCGTTTAGGCAGCTTGATGGACAAAGAAAACAGTAAACATTCAATATGAGAAATGAATGGCTTGGCAAGAGACGTCGCAATGTTTTGAAAGGAATGAGATTGTGTTCGAAGGTCAAAGTTCAGAGTCTCGTCTCTTTCGGCTGGCTATGTTGGAAAGACCCCTGTCTCAGTTGATCTTGTTTGAGATGATGCCCTGAATGCAGGAAGCGCCTTGCCCCTAGCTCGTACTCCTCGCCACATTTAGTGGCCAGCATTTCAGGGTTCACCAAAAAGTGCATGTATCCAATTGTGTTTCGTCCTTTGTTTGTCACTCACGCTTGATTGGCAAAGGTCGTATTCTCTGCATCTGAGGTGTGCCAAGACACGTAATCTAATACAGCGCAGTAGAAATAGTATGACTGAAAGTATTTCCTGAGAACGGCAAACTCGGGACCCCGGATCTCCGCCGCTTTGAGCCGATTCAGGTCCCGACGCCACCAGAAAATGCTTGGCTGGAGACCCAGCAAGGCCAAGCTTTTCACTACTTTCAAGCTTCACTCAACGTCCGTAAACTCCCCGTTAATCCTCCCATTTCCATTTTACGCCTCACAACTCAAGCCATGGAATCTTCCGATGTCAGCAAGCTAAACAAGCTTTGCGGCTACAGGCAAGGTCTTTGGAATCTGCATGAGCGAACCAATTTCAGCCAGTGACATGTTTGAGGAAACGGTACACAGCTGGTGAGTGGTGGCAGTGCTAACTAAACCAAGGTCGGGCAACGATCTGGTTTCGGAACCCTCGAGGTATGGCGGCACAACCCAGGCGTCCAAAAAGGCTTGTCATCTTTTCTTTGAGCTTGTGTTCGGGGCTCTAGGAGGGCCTTGGAATCGCATCTCATCTTAGATTTATGTGATCGTGGGAGTCTCACGTGCTCTGGTTCTTCCGAGATCTAAAACCATTGTTGAGTTTACTTCAATCACGCTTAATATTGGGATCCTTTTACGATTTCATTTTCTCATATGGTTCTTTTTATTTAATGCTATTGCTCTACACTTCAGTATTTCGAGTAGTGCTCAGCTGGAAACAAGGATTCTGGGACTCCACTTACCTTCACATTGAGAATCTGGTTGTTTTCGTACCACCATGGATTTGGGATCCATGTTATTACTTTTTTCTTTTTTTTTCCTCCAGCAGTTGAGAATATCTTCACTTGGTTACATCTCAATGATTCCCAAACTTATGACTTCAGTCGTCACACCAGGTCAATACGCAAGCTGGCTCATGCGCAATGATTGGAACCAGGTGATAGCAACATCTGAACTTGTTTAGTCGATTGATGTTTATCACTTCTGTTATACTGGTGCTGAGATGACATTTGAAATGTGTCTTCTTTCATCTCAATATTGACATACAAAGTTCACAAACCACTGCCAGCAATCTTTCATTCATGGTTCATCATGGTTCATCATAGTTCATCCAATAGATACACATCAATATAAGTTGTACTTCATACCTTTCCTTTTTTAAAAAAGAAAGAAAAGAAAGAAAAAAACTAAAAACTCAAGTACTATCACCTCAGAACATTCAACAACGCAATATATCTTGCCAACCCAGCAATGTTCCATCCTTCTAACCCCAAGCCTACCCATAAGAAGTCCTCCCTCATCCCTCCCAAGTTTTCCTCGACGCTGCAGCGCATTACCTGACCTCAACCGCCAAAATCGCGACATTATGAGCCAAGATCTTCACATGGTAGGCAGCACCCCACACCTCCAACCTTAGACCCCCTCCATTCACATATCCTACTGGTCTGGTTTCTCTTTGGCCTTTCCAGATCCAGGGTAACCACCCGTGCTACATCCTCAGCATCTATTTATTATGTTGCAACATTGATGATGCCTGGTCGGTTTCCGAGATAGATGCAATTTCAAGCAGCATAGCGAGTGTAGTGACAGGTTCCTACAGGGCCTCCGCAGGTACAGTACATTATCAATTTTATGTAGGTAGACAGGCTATATAGCAAACATTGTTGTAGTTGCTGATAATGCCCCGGCTGCCTCAAGGGAGTGCAAGGGGCATGCTTTTCCGCGCAATCAGTTTCCCCCATTCCATCCTGGGCGGCCTTATGGAAGCTTCAGACATCTTCGATAGAGAATAAATAATTCCCGAGATGATAGCAAGATAACAAAAAATTAGAATTTGCTCATTCGGCCCTTCTAGCATCAGACATCTATTTTGAGTCATAGAGTAGGAAATATTAGCTGCCATTTACTTGTCCTTCTAAAATACTATGTCGGCTCTTATAATAGATGCCATTCTCTGAATCTATTTCTCTTATATAATATTCTTCTACCTAGCAAGTTCTCCTCGGTCTGAACCTAACTCTCTTCGGAGCTCCTTCCATTCCTTTTCATTTAGCGAGAAAACTTCTCCACAACGCTTTCACCTCTCCGGCCCCTAGCCTCCTTTCTTGTCCCCCTTTATAAATTGAATAAGCACTGTCATGTCAACAATCTCAACAAACCGGTCGATTAGCTCAGTTGGTTAGAGCGTGGTGCTAATATAATGAACATGATACGCCAAGGCCGTGGGTTCGACCCCCATATTGACCATTTCAAAATTGTCACTAGATATCGAGGTTTGACTCCTTGTAGCCTTTATTTTTTTCTCTCACGAGTTTTTGAAATTAAACATGATAAAGGTGAGCCTTTTCATGCTCTGAGATTAAGAAAGCAAATTTGTACACTTTTGGGTTTTGTCACCCACCACCGAAAATTCATCCGTTTAAAACTTAGCAATCAAAATTTCAAAAACATACAACAGTGGGTATTTGCCGAGGTCCCCCACTTCACTACTGGTCCGTAGGTCTGAGGATTGTGCATAGGAGCTCAATCTCCCGTAGTTTACGATGCACCAGGTTCGGCTTCTGATATTTCTCTTCCTATTCCCTTCTCGTGACCAAGGATTCCTACCCAAGGAACGCATTATTCAAACTTATAGGAGCTATTATTTAATTGAACATTCTCTGGAAAACCAATTAAGCTTAACATGATTATCCTAGCCTCTTTAATTCACAGCCTGCTTTCTGGCAGCTCCGAGAAAATGATATTGTTTTCCCTGATACAAAAATAGCGATTAATAGGGTAGTCCAACTGCGTTTAGTCGCAGTTGGACTCCATACCACGAGCCCCCAACACCTGTTATCGTGCAAGATCGTCCAAGTAGTAGACTAGTCTCCTGTATTATGTTTGATTGCCTAGGATAAAAATTTCCGCGACGCCTTTTCGATGCCTGGGTAAAAGGGCGTTTATCAACAACATAGCCACCACGCTACTAGGATGCCCGTGCTGTCCTAAAGTAACGCCCAATTTTATAGATGATGAGTGCGGCAGAGGAGTGTTAAGTGTGGAATCCCGATCAGAGTTTTAAAAGGTTTTCAGTGCATTACTGAATCACAGACAGAACGAACCTCTCCAACTTGGCAGAGATTACCCTTCCTCTACCAATTTGCGAGCCCATCGGAGAAGAGACAGTGGCTGGAGTTCAGTAGGTTGTTGATAACGTGCGTGGTGGGAAGTTTAAGAATATCCCCAGTTATTAAAAGCCTAAAAGTCGAAAGCAGACGGCTTTGACCAATAGTTACCGATTGCTTGGTTAGAAATAGGACAACTCTATATACCTATGGTTAATCCGGCAATCCTGCTAGGGACAAATATTTATAAAGGTTTAGTACTATAAGAGAAGGAATGCCCTCTAAGTTAAAAATTATGATTAATAGACTATCTGGTATTTATCCTAATGCAAATACTTACCCCCTGTTTTACTTATGGCTATATAATTTATAGTGTTGTAACTTTTATGTTCCCTATTTATATTTTCAGGTATTATTTGTTAAGTTTCATGATAATCGAATATCACTGAATTCTCCAATATACCGTAGGCCATTCGCCAGTGACATGATAGTATTATCATTCGATAAGCTAATCGCTAAGGAAAGGAAAGAAAGAGCTTGAGTTTGGGTGGGGTGATAATAGCCCCTCTATCAGGATAGAATATACGGCGTGACACAGGCTGCTCCTATGCTAAACCCTTACAGCAGTAGAAAGCAAGCAGCTAAAAGTGGATGCTATTCATTATCTAATAGTTCAAGATGGTCGGTCGTCGTACCTATTCGACCATGGCCCTCCTTCATTTCTCTCTTCGAATAATCTCCGGCACCCTCCCGCTGTCTTCAATACTATCACTTCCTACCCCCCGCTTATGTACTACGCTAGATTGTCGCATGATAAGCCTCAGTTTGGCGTCTATTGTGGTTTAATTTACTAGATCGGTTGCGGAGTTCCGTTGTCTATTCACCTGAGTCGAAGGGGTCGTGATTTCCACGACGTCAAGTATGTCAATCATTTGCGAGCCAATAAAGATCCTTCATCACTCGTTCTAGGATTTTGCTGTGCTGCCCTTAAGGATAGCCAAGACCTTGTTGCACACAATGCTATTGGTCCACATGTTCGAGGGGTTTTTGATGAGGCAATCGAAGAAATGATCGATTATAACTCGATTTTCCTGAGCCACACCTGGTACTTGGGCAGCCTGGAGTTGGTCTGTCGTATTACCTGGTTGTACGGGAAGTACCTGACCACCTTTTATTCTTGATTTCAGGATCTCAGATAGGTATGTTCTTCTACAGCCGAACCGTGGTAAAAATCATGAGAATGTATCATTCAGGCATTCAGGCATAAGGATAGAAACCTCCTCTGACTTTGAGTGCATTGAAATTATGAAAGTGGATAGAATAGATGTAGCTACTACGTTGGATCTAAGCCTCCGAAAAATACGGACAACAAAATTCTTGATTGGAGTTCCCAGACTCCTCCCGTCCATTCCGCCTCTCCTAGGGCCTATCATGGGACTGTCTGAACCAACATGTACTCGACTGCCCGAAAACATATCATCACTGCTGGTGGATAGTCTGTAGCAGCCTAGAGACTAACATGCATAATGGTGTGTTACACAGTTTCAATCACTGAGATCCACTTAATGTAAAATTGTTGGTGAACATGTGGAGCCAGCCGTGTTGTCCTGTTCTCCCGAGGCGTAGTACGATCTAGAACTCCCAGGTTTCAGCGATAACAAAGAGACAAATAATAGAAGTATCACAATAGTTGTGGTAAATATTGACTCTTTGCGGATCAGTCTGGTTTGGCTGGGGACTGAAAGCTGCAGATTACGAACATCGTGTTGGCATCTTGGGGCGCAGCCGGCGGTCTAGAATCGGTTTCTATCTGCCGAATTTGCCCTTGTACATACTTTTTGCTTTGCCTCGAACCTTGTCTTCGATTACTGAGCTGTCAACACAAATCTTGTTGGGTAGCTCATGGTAGTGGGTAATTTATCAAATCGAGAGCGGCGGAGGGCATATGTATTATGCACCGTGCCCGATACGGGAACCGTGGCTTCTTGATCCCGACTTGCAGTTTAATCATTTCCTTGTATTAATAGTAATAAATTGATAAATAAAATTAAAAGAAAATAATTACTTCGTTTAAAAAGGTAAAGAATAAAAAAAATGAAAGGACCCCTCGGAGGAATTATATATTGATTCTATCATTGGATTTTACTCTAACAAAGTTGGGCCTTTTGACATAAGTACGTGAAATAAATGGTTAACACCTGGCATTAGGTGTAGCCCCCATCACGCTGTATTTTCTGTCCTGGCATACGGGGTTATAACAACCATTTCAGGTTTCACTTTGCCCTCATTTCTAGTTCTTTAACGATCAAGTTTTCCTATCAATACGATTATCATTTCTCCAGCGAAGAACCTTCTATTTATCAGCATACTGTGCGATGTTGATTGGTTAGATACTAGTATGCTTTATCTGGACGTGGTACAGCAGAAGACTGAACAGACGATATTAGAGTAGAACAGCAAAGATCCTCTTGCTATCAAGTAAGATGTCAGAGTACAGGGACAATAGTCTGTTTGCTTTCTACTCTAGCGGTGTGAATGTTACAGTAAGTAAGGCTCGGCCCAGCTTTCACATTTCAGGTTCTCGTGCACGTTTCGAAGTAACTCTTCATCTCAAGCCAAACATTCGTTTAAAAAGAGATGCCTACTCACAAACTACTAGATTAAGCATGAAAACGAGATTTTCACAGTCAAAGTGTCATCTCATGCAATGTCCCTAGCGAGCCCCGTCTGGGAGAAATTCCTTTTCCCTCCCTGGCCTAAGAATCAAGAGACAGAAGAGCTAGAAAAACAGGATGGCCGCGTATCCTCTGTTCCGCAAATTGATTTTTCTGATGACAATAGCGAAGCACTTCTGGTCCTTCTACGCATTGTTCACCAAAGGTTCGAGGAGGTTCCGGTTACACTGTCTTATGACCAACTATTTAACATGGCTATTCTCGTGGACAAATATAACTGCATTGACCTTGTCCAACCTTGGTTAGCTACATGGCTTGCGAACGAAAAAATAGACTCTAAGGCACCGGGGCATGAGCGGTGGTTGTTTATTGCTTGGGTTTTCGGCAGAAAAAATATTTTTGAAGACCTGGCATTGCAGATGGTCAAGGAAGTTGGAGCTGATATGGGTGGGACAGCATACACTTCATGGGAGGATTATATGCCTGGTGAAATTATTGGTGAGTTTCTAATCCGTACCCATATTTGCATAGCTCAAAGGAAATTTAACAGTTTACGTTGTAGAAAGCATTTCTGCAGTCCGTCTTGCCACTATAGGCAAACTTCTCGACATTCCTTACTTGCACATTGAGCAATACGAGAAGCCTACAAATACGATCTGTAAGCAACGTTACAATAATGAAGCTTGCGATGTTTTAGTCTATGGTTCACTAGCTAGGGGTCTCCAAATTGCCGGTTTATGGCCTCGAAAGAGCCCAGAGGAGGTTCATGTTAGTGTTGATCAACTTGCATCTACGCTCAGTGGTTTCCAAATATTTACCATTCCCACTGAAAATTACCGAAATCGGCGAGGCCACAACTACCATAGTGCGTGTAGTGACCTAGATATCAAGCGGGAGGTCTCTAAAATACTTTCAAGTATCACATGTCCTGTCCTCGATTCTCACTACCGGCATATGGAAGCGCAAAAAGTCTCAAACCCTACCGATTTTGCGACAACCAATAGCACAGAGTTGTTCACTTTCAAGCATGGCAATATAGATATTCAGGTCACATACCAGGGCAAGCTCGTTACAGGCAAGGTTTCGTCCGACTGCATGCGCCTGTGCAGTAAGGTTTGGGGGAACCCCCTCTTGGTCCCCTTTATGAAACACCAAGCAAAAGGAGAGAATTCAGAGGGTGAGAAAGAGTGTACCACTGATCCAAGACCAAGAAATCAGCCCCGCAAGAACGAAGAGGGTGAAAAGCAGGACATGACCACAGAAAATAATAAGCAAGAAGGAAACCCGAGAATTCCCGTCAAGGAGGTTGATTTTCAAGATGACGATGGTGAAGCCCTTCTCTTGCTACTTAGCATTACACACCTTCGATACAGCGACATCCCAGCTACTCTGTCCTACAAAACACTCCTCAACATCGCTGTCCTATGCAACCGATACGATTGTGTTAAGCTTGTTGGGCCTTGGT